AATACGTATTTAATATTCTTAAATAACCTGACTGACAAATAAATAAAAATTTGTCGTCATCACAATTGTTACACTAGCGATGGGTTAAAATACTCGTAGTATATCTTAAATGAGATAGTTTTACTCTCGATCTTTCACGAGAAACCTAGGTATTATGGTTTATTTTGACAATGTGTTACACTCCAATTTTCATTTGGGTTATGAGAAAATAAAAAAACCCCTACAACAACGTTTTTTGCCGGGTCACGACACGGTACCGTGCCATCAAAATAAAATACCGGGTTCTAACATCTCCATCTTGTGTGCAAAGAGACTTTAGGTTAAACCTTTCGTCGTTTTATTTTGTTGATTCTTTAGTAAAAAAAAAACAGAGCAGCAGCTTTATACTTCACATTAATATTTAGTAGCTAAACATGCAATACAAGAGTATGTAGTTTTTTTTTACTATGGCAATAATAATATAATAAAACGTTTTAAAGTTGGATTTAAAAGTATATCTTGTCACAAACGGGTAATATGAAAATTACCGGGCATGGTTGAACAATGTTTGGGAAACACTGCAAAACAATATTAGATATAAGTATCACATAAGTTACTCTCACCAATTCAATTCGAGATATCAATTTTTTTTCTTCTTTATCTATAACGCAAGGCATGTTTTCCTCCGAATCGCCTAAATTAGCGCTCTTTAGTTCTCTTAAATAGTATTTCTTAAAGGATTGCACTCTTTATTATTTATTAGAAGAAATAGAGTAGGTATATCATTTCAAAGGCGGTAATAGAGAATAAGGACTTATATTAAAAAATATAATTTATATAACATTTTAAAAAGGTGTTTATTTTAGATGTACCAGCAGAAATCCTATTATGGATATTTGGATGTTTGTCCGTCAATTACGCCGAAACTACTGAACGGATTTTGATGATATTTGGTATACAGATAGGGTATTAGCTGACTTGGATAATAGAATGCTTTTTATACCGCTAAACATTTCCCTAGAGACCACGCGGGCGAAACCGCTGGCGAAAGCTAGTGTAAAGAAAAACTGACTTTTTAGTTGCGAAAATAAGTATCATATATACAACGTGTCCCAAAATTCAACGATAAGCGGGCGCCAAGAGGTAGACCTGCTCATGTGTACCTATGGAAAAATAAGAAAAAAATTATAACTTATTAAACTTTTTTATTATAAAATAAAATTCGAAAATTTTCGAAAGAGTTGTAGCGAATAGTAGTGCTACTTAGGTATCCGATACCAAAAAAAGATTGAACATAATTGAGAAGTTGTGGTCGTGGTAGTTGAAAATATCATAAAAGGTGTAAATTTTCGAAGATTTTCTAATTTAATTTTATAATAAAAAAGATAAGATATAATTTTTTTCTTATTTTTCCATAAGTACACATGAGCAAGGGTACCTCTTGGCGCCCGCTTATCGTTGAATTTTGGGACACGTTGTATATATAAATATAATAACTATCGATATGCAACAAAATATGCGTAACTGGCTCTAATATAATAAAAATTATGTAAATAAAAGTATTTTAGCGTATTTTATTAGTGTTATAAATTATATAGTACGCCTAAATGAGATAGAGTACAATAGTCTATTTTTAATAACTTATTCGCCACTGTATTGGTAAGACATATAGTTCCGCTACATGCCACTAGAGAATCTGACCATTACCGATAATATATGCTATCTTTTTGTCTAAGATAGCTAAACTAAGAGGTGAGATCCAAGATTAGAAAGTTCTGTTAGATGAGTCGATGCCCGACCAAGTTTGAGAACTAAATATATATATATTTTTATGAATAAGTAATAGTCAATTCTTAATTCATGAGTTTGTTATATTTGGAATAAAGACTTCACATACACAAGATAAAAAAAAACCTTTCTCATACAACGGGAAATGCTATTTTAACCATTTTTTAGTAGATCGCTATAGTAGTGGCTTTTCGTGCTAGAGAAATGAAAATCTTTTTAGAACATCTATTATTCTAATTAATTTCAATATTTTTTTTAAATATTAAGCTAGGCGAAGGTAGCGAAGGTAACATTATGATATAAATAATAATTATAAACCCTGTTTAATTAAGAACTTCAATTTAAAACTGGGATCGGACACGAATTTCATCAACGTCCGCTATGTCCAACTTTAGATTATAATATTTCTAACCGATTTCAAAAAAAGCTTCTTCATTTACAAGCCTGATTAAATAAAAAATATTTGCTGCCTATTCCAAGTAATTGATGTATGTACATTTATTTTATTAGATATTCATATATATTTTTTAGTCTAATCAATTGAGCTACCTCGGGAAGTCGGGAACTTATGGTTCGTTTTATATAAGTACTTTTCATTTACCTATATACTTTAATATCAATACAGAATTCACAAAATTTATGAATTTCAATATTTATTTTAACATTCAACATAATATATTTATTTTAAATTAACGTATAATAACTAATTAAAAATAACAAATTCAGCTAACAAATTAACACAAATTAAATGCAATGAAGTGTATCATAGTTTAGATTCGCGAACGATTCTAGCGTTCCAATCGATTAAGTCATTACAGTGCCCTGCGTTCATAATTAGCTTATTGAACTTGCGTTAGTTCCATTCTGCCGTTGTACGGTTGTACGACCTTTTTATAATTATGGCAGTTTATAAACGATACACGTAGCCGCTAGGACTTTCAGTTTTATGCAATTAACATATTCTTAACTCACGTGAACGAATCTGATTAACCATATTTGTAAAATGAATTAATGGTGATCATTATTTTTTTTTTAAAATAAAACGGAACTATTTTTTATCGCTTAACTAAGTAGATGTTTTATTATAAATGATGGCTAATGACTGTATTTGTATTTAGTAGATCTTGATAGTAAGATGACTAATGTTATAAAGGTATTAAATAGTATATTATGTAAGGCTAAGTTTAAAACAGAGTTAATGTTACTAATGCGTAATCTGTTCTTAATAAAAAAATCACCATTTTTTCGAATTCTTGTTGTTTTTATACATAGCCTTTTTAATGGAAAATAGCGCTATGAAATAGACAGAGATACTTTTCGCTTTACGCCACCTCTTAATAGGTACAGGGAATGCCAGAAACGGAAAGCAATTTCAATTATTGGTATGTATTAATCTTACTTATAAATGAAAATAATATTTTCTTCAAGTAATTAGAATTGTAGATCGATCTCCAATGTTATAATGGTTCTGCAGGTGTTTTTATGTTAATTATTGAAAGGTGTAAGCTCTTATTAATGATAAAAGCAAATAAATCAAATAATACAAGTTTCATTGTTTACGAATATAATATTTATTAACAATTTTAATTTAATGACTGTAATATAAGTCGATATCATATTTACAATTTGCATTTGTTTATATTATACATTTTTACAATCTCTCTCGAGTCTATTCCTATATGTATATAGCCTAGTTACCTAACGCAAGTAATAACTATAATGCACAAGAGTTTTGTGTATTGGAACTACATAAAAGTACAGTTTCACTGATCCACCGATCATATTCATACGAAATATTTATAATGTAGGTAAAAGAAGTCACAGAAATGCTACAAGATCACAATTAGATAATTATACTGACCTCGATAATACTGATGATCTTTTCGCACACGTAATTAAATAATTAATATTGTTGCAAACTTTATAAAACTGCTCTTTAAATGTAGCAAGAAAGAGTGCGAATATTTAAAAATTAACTAATTTAAGATATGTAATTATTATCCTAAATGGTTTAGATCATATATTTTGAACAGATTAAAATTTGAATTTAACTACTCTGAAACGGATTCTTAATTAGTTTTATTTTTTAAAGTTATTTTACATTATGCGGTCAGAAAAACGAATAAATACTCGATGTAAGCAACAAACACGGAGATTTGTGATAATACGAAATTTATAAAAAAAATATCTTATAGACATATTTTTGGAAAATGAAATGAATGGAGTAGCGCCTTACTGTCCATAAGATATTAATTTTTTTACAAACATTTACGCAGAAATAATTAATGGTAAATGAAAACTATCAAAAATAATAATTCATGCCCAAAACATTATAAATAAGTACTAAAACATAATAATAAAAAAACCTTTAAGTTAAAATACCTGTCTAAACCTACGTAAGGCAAACAGTTTTCCCGTCAATTGCCATTTTCGCAGCATTTCTGTGACTTTGGGCGAAATATTATACATCATAATAAAATAATTTAACAGAAATAGAAAAATTTTGGTTCTGAACAAGTCTCCTAAGCCTGGAATATTAATCATACGTGCTCAGGTACAAAACCTTTCAATATCATAATAGATACATTTTATAAATTCTAATCCTCCGATTATCTACATCTTTTTATAGTTAATTTAAAACGTAAAACTAAAGCCTGTTATTGATAAATATAATTCTTTTATGGGTTAGGATATAGGTATAAATATTTAGATAAGTAAATGCTTTTCGGCATACGGCAAAGAGTAAGTTCTAAATATCTAAACGTAAAACCTATTTATGAGAAAAATTAAATAAATAAATCCCACCATATTGGACAGGATAGTTAAACCTGTGGTTTAACTCAAGTCATAATATAAAATTAACCCTGTTTTTTCCTCAAAACGTGAAGTTTCTTAACATTGCAATAATTATATAGGACTAATTCGGAAGGCCTAAGTAGTTTCACATGTTCCGTTTGCGCCTAGCGGGCAAACTTTCACTAACAAAGCACATAGGTACATACCTGACGCGCAGTAATGCTGACTTTACTTCAAGCACTCGATTTACACTTTCAACAATATAATTATGAGCTAATAAACTTATTTGCCATGCCTTAACATCACATGCATCACGGACTCTGGGACTAACTAGATTAATCGAAAACTCGTCTATATTGCATCGTCCGTACGTCACTGAGTTCTGCGGCATCGCGACAACATATATCACCGTGACATTATTTACACTATCAGTCTGGCTACTCCTCGTCGACGTTGATCTCGGAGTCGGCCGAATCCTCGTCGTAAGTGGAAGAGGAGGCGAAACCGCGACCGAGCAGCGCCGAGCGGTTCTTGGCGGCGGCCGCGCGGTCCCGCTGCCGCCGGTTCTTGAACCAGTTACCGACTTGCGTCGGCGTTAGGCCCGTCGCCGCCGCTAATTCTCTCTTTTTCGTCGGATTCGGATAAGGATCTTGCAAGTACCACTCTCTCAAAAGTGAACGTGTCCGCTCTTTAAAACAATGAGTTTTCTGTTCACCGTCCCAAATGGTGCGAGGTAAAGGGAACTTCTTCCGAACTCTGTATTTGTCGACGGGACCGAGGGGACGGCCCCGGAGCCTCTCCGCTTCCTGGTAGTGCGCCTCCAACCATAGAGCTTGAAGTTTCGCGTGACTCGACCGCTGGAACCGGTGTCGTTCGAGAATCGAGTACAATTCACGGTGGCGGCCGGCGTGAAAAGCGACGACGGCGCGCGCCCGGAGCACGGCCTCGCACCGCTCCAATTCGGCAACGTTCGGATGCGCCACCGGCAAGGACCAGAGAAACCGCGCGAGACGTTCCACATCGCCACTCTCCTCTAGTGTTTCGCAGACGGTGGCGACTTGGGCCGCGCTGAAGGAGAGCGTGGGCAGCGGCAGCAGCGGCGTCGGCGCGGCCAGCTCGAGCGCGTTGATGGTGAGGGCGGGCGGGTCGGCGCAGGGCGCGGGCTCGGCGGCGCGGTCGGCCGCTGGCCCGCGGTGCGCCTCCAGGATGCGCGCGTGCAGCGCCGCCGTCGTGGCTTCGTCCCAGGAGCCGCGCATCGGTGCGAGTGTGCGCGGCGGAGTCGCGCGCGTAGTGAGCTGACGCCGCGGCCGGGGGCGTGGAGGCCGGAGCGTGCGATTGGCTATCGGTTACTGGCGGAGGGCGCGGCGGCCAATCGCGCGCGCGCCCGCCGGGGGCCGGATAGCTTTCAACCGCGCGCGTATCCGAGGCGCGTTTAACGGGTGCCCCCTCCCGCCGCCATGATCCGTCACGCACACCGCACCCGCCCGCCTCATGATCCCGACGCACCTCGTGCTCTGCCTCGATCGATTACGTCCAAACCTGCAATTAATAGCCTCCAGCTTCCATATATCCACCCGGTTGAGTTACAGACCCGGCGCAGTTGTTGGATATTTCGCGAACACAATGCTGTAAATAAAACTATATAATCTCAGCCAAAACCCGTCCGACCTGAGCATCTACTTTAAATAAAATCGTATCATACATAATGCTTAGATAGCTTTCTCAGTTTAATCCAATTTGTACCAAGCTCTAAAAACAATGTGGTGTCTGTATTACGCCTTATATATGATTGGTTATAGAATCTCTTTAGACATTTTTTAAATCGTATTTATTTTATCCTAAAAAATACAGATATAATAGTCTGGATATAACAATAATAGTCCTTTGTTGTAATAAAGCACACAACACAGGACAACACAATTCAATATTGTTCAAAATAGAAATTATTACTATCTGTATATCAGTCACATATTTTAATATTTTAACATTGGCCGTGAACACAATACACAATTATAAATATTGACCCCATCACATATATATGATAGATTGATGAAATGTATGTTACCGTCTGCTATATTCTGTATCACTTTTTATTTTTTGTTTATAATTGTAATGTGTAATGTGATGGTCAATAAAAATACTTACTTACTAAATAATAATTGAGTCTACATTGAGCTGTACCCTATCTAAGCCTAAACAAACCTTAATATAAGCTACTTATAAACTACATAAAAAGAAAATTCTTCTAAAAATAAATAAGACAAAATTAAATATACATAATATCAAAGTGAATCGGTCGCAGTACACTTCAGCGAGATTTCAGCGTGAAAGCCTTTCCAGAGTATTAAGTTATTGAACGGCAAACCACACCCAGGCGGCTGTAACGCTACACAGGTACCCCCCCACCCCTTTTAACACCCCCAGCGCCCTCAAACACCCACTGACACCCCCAGGATTGTGGGTCGAGTTTCCAGTATATTTACGAATTACGTATCTCAATAGTAACAAATGCCTTTTCACTCTTTATCTAACGGGAAGTGTTATTTAATATTATATGGGTTACGTATATGTATATATATATATATATATATATATTACTTTGATATCTGCTGATAATACCTAAACTTTTAATTATTATGAAGCATGATACACTAATACACATTTATTTATTTATTTATTAGGTAACACAACAGACATTAATCAAAATATAAATGAAATAATAAGTAAAAACTGTGTAGTACTAAATTAATATCCTAAAGGTGTTTACACAATGAGATATGATAAAGAAAAAAACAAACTATTATTATTATTTTTACTAATATGAAAGAAAACAGAAAGAATGAGTATAAATCAATCTGGATGGTTAAAAAGTTTCGACATTTAGATCTACCAAAACTTCCCAAATACATTTTTTTAATTTAAAGAGATTGGCATTAAATATGTCTAATGCTTGATTAACTGGGAGGATCTCATTACAATTTCTGCACATACGAGCGATTGGATTATGATAAGATATGTTATTTCTATATGTCGGTATGACAAAAGTTGGTTGCCTGCGCCTTGGATTATATTTGAAATTAATGTTAATAGATGAAAGAAGATATTCTGAGTCAATTATGGAATGAACTAATTTATGAAGTGTTATTAAATCATGTTGATAACGACGTGTGTTAAGAGATGTAATATTGAATTTACTCAATCTGAACATTGAGATTGGTACAAAAAAACAAGTTTTCCATATGATTTTCCATATCAAAAACTCTTTGGGCGAAACGTAACTTGGTTATGTTTTTGATATGTTTTTAATTAGAATTCTTAGTTTCCTTTATGGTGGTAGATGGCGCTGTACAAATTTCAGTTTTAAAAAATTTGGCATAATGTTAATTTTCATACTCTGTGTATGTGTCTGTTCTAATATGAAACATGTAGGTCCTATATCTAACTACGAATTTCAATGGCTTCTTTTACTTTTTAGTCGACATTAGCTTCTTGAAAATAAACTGGCTAGGGAAGAAAAAAGTTGCTTTTACTATTTCTCTAAATTTTATATATTTTTTTAATAAACTTCCTTGGACAGTGGCGACTTTTTAAATAGACAATAGCAAAACATGCAAGAAAAAATATAATCAGTAGTTACATATACTTAATTAAATTTTGTTCAAGTTACAGTATAATTCAGGTTTTTTTTCTCTTTTTTATGACTTTTAAAATTGTAGATAAAACATCAAAAGATATCTAGTTATAAATATGTTACTATTTATTATATGTAGATATACCTATACTGTACACGGAGGTCGATGACCGTTTTTCATCAATATATCTACAGTTTTTTAACTACATTTGAATTGAAAATGAAAAACAAAGTACACAAAAGGCGGCCTTGTTACTAAACAGCAATCACTTCCAGAAAACCTATGAAAAATTATCAAATTTTAATATTGCAAAATAAATAAAAAAATACACAAGTTCTTGATAAATAATTTAGGTAATATTACCGATAACTATAACTATGATAACCTTAGAAAAATAATTGTATATGGCAATCAAATTGTTCCTGTGTATATTTATTTATAGATTAACGACCGGTTTTTGAATTGAGAAAAATACAAAATCTCAACTAAATATTCTCAATAACTTAAGTTCTTTACTTTTCGCAAGGCAAAAGTCCTAGTTTTTATCAAACTGCTATCATCATACAATTTGAGACGTGCTTAACTTTAAATTCTCAATCCAGATGCCGGATGTAACTCTCATTAATAAGAAATTAATTTTAAATAATGAACATAAATAAGTTGCACATTTCGAATAACAAAAAAGTTCGTTATTAAATCGAATAAACTATAACATTTTTTTGTTGCAGAAGAAAATTATTTCTATTCAATTAGCGATGTACATTTGATAAATTACATGTCAGTGCAAGAAACTCGTCGGAGCGCAACATAATGTATCCAATTACATATTATATGAAAAAAGGTATAAAGATTTGCATAAGTAATTCTTAAACGGACGAGCTTCTGAGTTAGGAAGCCTGTCGACTCGTTTTTAAGTGAAATTACTTGCTAAGTGTTTTTATTTTATGTTAATAAAGCTTCTGTTGTGACTTGTTGACCAGTGACTTTATTTAGATTGCTTAGTCTGATAGTAAAAATGTAAAATACCGATAAATGCTTTAGCTACTTGACCGCAGACAACAATGTATCATATGTGATATATAACATAAAATAATAACTTAAAAAAAATGTATCCGACGGCAAAAGAATGAATGATATAAACTAGAATTTGATTCACTGATTTTTCTGTATCAGCTACTAGATATTTCCTTTTCTTTGTAATGTGTTCTATATTTGTACAATAAAGAATGTAATTATTATTTTATATGACTTGGCACCATCGCATGTTTCGTCATATACTTATAAATAAAACGTATTCCTTCTAAAACTATTTAAAGCTTGTAAAGATTATTAAATCTCAGAAATAAGTTACGTCTCCGAAGTCTATTTCTAAAAGACAAATGTTTTAAACACCATTTGATTTAACAAATTCAGATCTCATATAATTAAACCCTACTTACAATAATATACTCAAAATCAAGTAGGTGTATTTGTTTAATATTGCTTTAAAACTTATTATAAGAGTGCTCTAAAGTTTTGGAAGTGTTGAAATAAACAGAAACAAATGTATTTGTTAAAAAAAATCATTCTCTGAAATAAACCAAAAAATATGTTCTGACTTCTATTGTTTAAAAAATTGTCATTACAGAGTACCAAAGCTAAAATTGTTAGCTTACGCTGCTAAAATAGCATTTTTGCTCATGAGGAAAAAAGTTTTTTTTTAATTTTGTGTATAGACACTGGTCATAGGACCAATGTTATTTTATAACGTAGTGATCTATAACAAAATATATGTATCAGTATATTTATAAACTCAACAGAAAGTTTTGGGTATTAGAAGGAAACGATACACAAACTTTCAATGCTTTAAACATTCATTTTACAATTATTTAAATTCCAAAGCCTGTATTAAAAAAAAACAAACTGAATTTGACATAAAAATAAAAAAAAATGTGTTTGACATAATTTTGACAGATGATTGATAGTATTATTAATTATCACGTGGCCATTATTATGAAGTTGAATTAATATAAAAATGGTTCGTGATCGAACACCTGTTGAGTTTTTCACTATTACCTATTATAACCGTAGACGTATTAAATCCGGTGTATGACTAATCGCACCACTCTATACTAATGACTCAAGATATTTAATAGCAGAGTATTTTCTCAAATCTTAAAAGTTTTAATATTGCTTAATAGTTTGACTAATACTGTGTGCTTTTATCATACAGTTATCTATTAATCCTTTTTTTGTATAAATAGTTAGAGTATGCTCTTTAAAATCTTTGCGGTTAAACTCCTTAAAATATGGTTGAGTTAAGCGACAGCTGCCTCATGCGTCATGCTCGTGGACTGGTGCTGCTTTTGCATATTTCTCTGCTTAGATTGCCATTTTTAGGGTTTCGTACACAAAACGGGAGCCCTAGTATTAAGCTTGCTATTATTTCTGTAGCTATAACAACAAATACTAAAAAACAGATTAAATAAATATTTAAAGGGGCTCCCATACAACAAATGGTATTTTGTCGTTTGGGCAGGTTTTTCTTAAGTCGTCTCTAAACATTATTAAATTTTATTTTCAGAAATTGGTATCTTATATTAAAAATTGAAATATTAATTTAGAAAACTCTCAATAATTCCGTG